GGTGAGTTTTCTCACAGAGTAATCTTCATGCTAAAATTTAGATACTAAGTTTTTATTATTTACTAAACTTTACTGATATACGATGATTTTATTAGTATATGTGCATACATATATTACTTATACTTAGTGATGATGAGCAAAAATTGTCTTGGTGTTGCAGTTTTGTTTTTTCTTGCCTTGGTTTTGCACATTTAGCATTATTATTGGAACACAGGGTGACAAGTTTTGAATTCGAATTGTTGAATAATCCATCTACTTACATTTATCATACTTAAAATGAGCCAAATTTGTAGATACTTAAATTTAATGTAACATGCACGGGGCATTCCAAAATTAACTAATTTGATCGTTTAAGATAAAATATAATTTTATATTCATTTATACAACGTTCTGCTTGAAGAATTGTAATAACCAATGGTAAAAGAATAAAAATTGGAAGGTTACGAACAGAGCACTTGTTAGACAAGTATAATTTTAATTTTTCGAAATTGTCAAGAAAGTCTTGCAAAAGAATCAATAGATATCGCAAGAACAAGACCGGACGTGCTAGGCCAAGACCAAGATAATACTTGTCTTTGTCTTACTTTTGCCCATCACTAAGTACTCATAATCAGTAACCGAAATCAGTAAAGTGTTAACTTTTGGTAGTATCTACCTTTTCATTTGATTATGAGTAGGGCAGAGCGGGGTCTGTTGAGCCGCGGGGTCTAGTGCGCCACGTACACAGTGCATATCTACGAGTAGGTGGCATTAGACAAAGCGGGGGGATGAGGAACCCACCCCGTCATTGCTTTAGTCACCGGGCGGCATTTGCTTTGGTTGTGAATGCATAATGTTGCAAATTTGGCACTAAATGTAAAAAACATCGTTCCACTGAATTTAGATTTAACAATTACAAATTTTATCATACGGCCATCAAGTAAGTGTATTTTGATTTCAATATGATTACTGTTAATGGTTTAAGTTTCAGGAATAAATTATTTTCAATTGATTTTTAGTCATTTAACATATTAAATGTAATTCGGAGAAGGGGTCATTTGAGCCAAAATACTCGGGGTCGAATGAGCCATATTCAAGTGACCCCTAATATTTAATTTAAGAAAATTAAGAACCAAATTTTGAAATGCCATCTACATCTAGAGACTATATTCCATTTTCGCCAGAGTCTGTGAGACCATTACCGAAAGCAGGGCCCAGAAAGCAACAAACACGAGGGAAAAAAAGAAGTTGTGCTGTTTTGACAGACACTCCCGAGAAATATGCGCTTGCTTTAGAACAATGTGAAAGAAAAACTAAAACTATCAAGAAAATAGAAAAGTCCAAGAAAAAAGCAGTGAAGAAAGCAATTTTTAAAAGTTCCTCAGAGTCTGATGAAGAAAATAACTCTGTTAAGAAAATTAATAAAAAGGTCGATAAGAAGAATGAACAAAATGAAAAGAAAACACAACTTCCTTCAGACCCCGAAGGGGATGATTATTTTTGTCTAGTGTGCGCTGAGTCCTATTCAGACAGTCTCCCAGGAGAAGAGTGGGTACAGTGCACTAGTTGCCGAGATTAGGCTCACATTAAATGCACGTCTAGTATCATTGCAGTTTATGTTTGCATGAAGTGTGATAGTAACTAAACTAATGAAGTTACTTTCTTTAATTAGAAGTTTATTTAAGTTTGTTTTTGTTTCTATGAGGAATCTCAGACATTTTATTATGTTTTTGTTGCTATGTTTCATATGTTTTAATGTGCAAAGGTTTGTAAAACCCTTTGGCTCAAGTTACCCCGTTGAGCGGTTCAAAAGACCCCGCCTGTGGGGTCTAATGAGTCATATGACTTTTTTCATTGTAAGGTAAATTTAGTATAGTAAACAACGGATTTTCCAAAGTTTTTTGATCTCAATATGCGGTCAAATAAATAAACGACTGATTTAAGAATAACTCTTTTCTTATTTTTTCTTTGAATAGACCTTACGCTGATTTGAACAAAATCAGGATCAAGTGACCCCGCTTTGCCCTACTAGGACCACGCAGGAAAATACGATAGTGCACCGCCGCATTCAATTAGCTGCTACTTAGCAGCATCGGTGTTGCAGTTTTTGGGTTTTTATACACATGTATCGTTTGTTATTTGTTATATTAGACTAAGTATGACTGACGATGTTTATGTTTACAAACGGCCTAGAGTAGTTCTTTGCTATTTTAACGTCGCGTCGTAGGCTTGTACTACGTATGTATGTAGAAAGTCATTAGAAGCAGATCAATGTGTCAGTGACAAAGGTTATTGCAGAATCGTATTATTGCGCTGACCAATGTGTGAGTTTCTAGAAGAACGTCAATGATTTGCACGAACGTATACCAAATGTCGGAAAATTTTTGCGTGAAATAATTTTTGCAGTATATGTGTGTGTGTGTGTGTTTACATGTATTGTAATTAATTGTTTCTAATATGGAGACATGGTCATAAAAAAAGGTAACGCAATTTGAAGATACCTCAATGCTGAATCTACAGAAAATTCACATTACCCAATCTAATGTTTTTTAGTGCAAAATAGAATATTTCGAAAACTATGACTTGGATCAAGTTGTGTTTTTTTTATTTGTTTGAATAAAGAAGAGCTAATAATTCCCATAATATAATCTAAACAACATCACATATTAATAATGTGTTTAACAATTGAAATATTAACCATTAACCATTAACCACGGTTTTTATAAATTACTCAGCAANCTATAGTATATTTACTATGAGCATTGCACCCGTGCGAAGAATAGTGTACAAATAATACCATTAAACCAATTCCTTAACCCCTATCCCGGTATGTTCGTGTGTTTGAAGAAGTTTCACTTCAATAGCGTATTGTATAATTACACGTTGTATTTTTTTTAAATGTTGTACCACAATTCGAATTAACTAAATAAATATGTCTCAGTCAATTTGAACAACGATCTAACAGCAGGCACTGTCTTTCTAAATTATATCTACTTAACGCCAGTAATACCGCGACCAGGCATTTTGCAGAATGTTGGATATCGTTTTCCTCGCAGTTGCGTGCCTTCTGGTGTTAACAACCTTGGAGCTTTACAGCGAAACGTTATTATTATATTCCCTATAGGGATTTGGGAAATGGTTTGTTTTATATCGCGCAATCGAGATCACGGCCCTGCACAACACATACGTACAAGCGTACACATGCACGCGTACATACGTTCATTTCCAATATAATTCAACGTGTTGTAGAGAATAATTCGGTTGACGACGTTTCCTACGTATATATGTGTATGTGTATGTGGTACGTGTACGATGGTACATTTTTAATGCAGCTTTCAACGCCGTGGGGTTCCAATTAAGGATAATACATTTTTGGCGCAGTGTGCATTTGGCACGACGAAGGGTAGCCCGACAACTGCTGTGCTAATGAACCTTTCTCATCCTCCCGTTGTTGATAGCAACATAGTGAGCTTTTCTACGATACCGGATGCTTTAAATTAATCTAACTTCACGAACTTTGTATGACGAAAAGAGAAAATGCACCTTAACGCGTTTGGACTGTCGGAGAAAACCATTTAAACGAACTTTCAATTGCCTGAATAAAATTTGTGAGTAACTTAAGTAATGGATTTTAAATAATGCAAACTCAAATATTCAAAATATTGACGTTCACTAGCTCACTCTACATTCCAGGTAGAGAATTAGTACAATAAGTACATTGTGTGTGACATTCAATAAGAACATTGCCAATAAAGGAACATTATTTTGTTTTTCATAAAAATTGATAAATGCGGAGATAATTTTTTATAATTTCGAGTGCGGAGAAAACTTTTTTTGCATTTCAAAAGAAATGGTTAGGTACTTTAAAAACGTCTCCTGTTTTTATATCAAACCTTCGACTTTATGCATACCACCCAGTATGACGGTTGAACATTTACATGAAAGGTTCTTCTGTTTCTGATTAGTTTTGGACATTGGCGATTCAAATCTGTGTGGTTCCAGATATCGGAAAAAGAAATAGTGAAACTTTATCTGTCATTAAAACTTTTGAAATTGTACCTGGAATTTGGAAAGAATTTCGTAAAAAGCGAGTCCCTTGTTTATAACGCCGTGAAACGGAACGAAACCTTGAATTAAATTTCCGTAACGTTTCGTCGAAACGGCCGTTTATGTTTCGTTCGTCGAGTAACCCGAGTTATTATTTCCACTCGAGTTGTAATCGAAAAAGCGGCACTAAAATGTGGTAACAACAACGTTGTTGAATTACCTACATTGTTGTGAATCCAGAAATAAATTGACAGTGATAGCAGTGAAATAAATAGCGCAGTGAATAGTGATATATTAACAGTAGTGTAAATAAATAGAATAATTCATAACCTAAGTTTAGTAATAATTTAATAGTGTTTTTAAGTTCTTTAATAATTAGTGTAAATAAATTGTTTTGTCGTTATCAGTCTTAGAAATTAATTTTGTTAAACCCGCAAACATTACACTATATTCGCACGCTCGGTGTTACTGCCACCATCTCCTCGTACCTTACTGGTAGAGTACTGGTGTGTAAAACCAGTGGCCAGGGTTCGACTCCGGGAGAGGGGGTGCTAGCAGCAACGATTTTTCCTCGTTCCTTTCAGGTTACATGCAGTGCGTAAAGTTAATTCAAAAAATTAATTCGCTAATGCATTAACACCCTGTATACTCTGCAAATTAACAAAGTCACTGACTGAAGTATTCATCTCTTACCTCGCTCGTTAATCATTTATCCTAATGTCTTTGCATGAAAATTCCTTACAAACAACTTCAATTAAAGTGCTTTTGATGAAATGTGTGCTCACTTATACTTTCTCCTGACTTACCCGAGTGCAGAAACGACAAATATCCCCATCCGACTGGTCCGAGGATCAAAGCGGACGGGTCGACTTCTTTAACGGCCAGCGCGTGCTCCTCAGTGAGTTTAATGATCTCATCGGTTGAGACTGGCTGTGGATGGATATCTTGGTGGGTACTGTGCCACAGGTCGTACTCGTTGTCCATTTCGTAGAAGAGCACTCCGCCCTTGTCTGCGGTGCCGTACTTCTTGGTCAAGTGCTGGACCCACTCCTTAGTGAACGTACTGTTGACCTTGATTGAGGCGTCTGACGGGTCGTTATCAGTGATCAATGTCGTTCCATCGGTTTTAATGCCATTACCGCAATCGGGCATCCATTGGTCGGTCTGCTGCTGAGGACCGTACTTCTTAATGCTGAAGCTGCAGCTCCTCTCTCTATTTACACATATTTCAACACGATTACCACTCAATTAGTGTTATTTTAAAAATTGTAAATGAAGAAGGAGGATTATGAAAACCGCTTAAGGAAAACTATCCATCAGAAGTGGGTACACTTAGTATAGTGTATTGTCGCGTAATAAAACACCTTTTTCCCTACTAACTGATTTTAGTCAATTATTTACTCTTTAATCAACACCACCAGGGGCGCAACAAGGGGGGTCTACGGGTGCCTGAGCACCCACTCGATTGGGTTGGGCACCCAGTCAATTCCAGTCGATTCAGATAATAACCCAATTTGAAAGTTCGGTTGAAAAAGTTCAAGCTCGTAAATGAGCAGCCGAACTCAATCTTTTCAGCTTATACACACCCGCAGTATATAAATATTTATAGTATTACTCCACCACGGCTATAGGCTATATAATACATTTTACATTTATAATAAAAAGGATGATTTTTATAATTTTAACGAATTAATGGCTGTAGTATGATTTTCTGTTAAACTACAGCAGATTTATCAAAAGAAAAAAACATTATTATTAGATACCTATATTAACGAAAAGTACGGATTATAGTAGGTACCCAGCAACGTAAAATGAACTATGCATTTATGCATTTTTTTTACCATGAGGAACATTTGTTTATGTATACTCAAGTCATATCTGTCGTTTTATGGGTGGGTNAAACAATCAAAGAATGTGTTGTGGAATCTTTGCCATAATGTCATGCTACTGGCGTAATGTAAATATAAATCAGGAATGTAAGCGGTATATCCAGGGTTACCGGCCATTTCAATGGTCCATCTCGAATATCCAATCGTACTAAGTACTATGTAAGGAGCATTGAATCGATGTGATAGTCCAAATAAGGCTTCATTCATAAATCTCTCAAATATAATCAAATCAAACGTTTCGTTCGAATGTATCAGTGTTTTGAACGAAGGATGTGTTACAACCTTTCGTGTCAATTCCGGTCCGAACGTACTGGCGGTTATTTCTTTTTGGAAACCGGACATCGTGGACAACACGACAATATTTTGTTCTTAAAAGAATAATATTATTAAATTTGTAACTGATTATCTATAAACGTAAAATCTAATCTAAACTACTTAATAACCATAAATCATAAATTAACCAACTACCTACCTAAAAACTAACTACAGTGTATGTAATATACACACTACAATTAAATTTAAAACATTTTTGTTAGAATTTTTTATGTTAAATTTTTGATTACATTTTTTTGTCAATTGTTAATTATCCAATTCTAGAAATATTTATTTGTAATTGTGACGTATTACTGTCGCCACGTGGCTCTTAACTATTGATAATATAATTATCATTAAGTCTACCCAAATAATTGTTCTGTTTTTAATGTAACATTTTTAACTATTAATACAATACTGTACTTTTTTATTATGTTTAAATACTAGAATATGATATACGAAAAGTACAAACTGGTTGAACTGTAAAAAAAGTGCATTTTTAATTCATTAAGTATTAGTGCTGTTTCTCTAAAGGTAACCAGTGAAGCATTGACTAATTTTCCTAATGAAAAGTAACTGAAGAATCAGTTATTATTCGCAAGAAATAAGTTACATTCAAATAAAAAGCAGTAATCAATATATTTCTCAGCCAACATTTTTAACTGATTTATCAGTTATTTTGTACTGATGTGATTAGTTACTTATGTTACTGTTCTATCAGTAAAAAGGGCCAGACGCTTTTGTGATTCTATTAATATGGTTAGTGACCTTCTACTTCCGATAATTTTTTTAAATTCTTTGGTTAGCCTGCCACACGTCTATTAGACCTGGGTTCTAGACCACGTTAATTTTACTCTTTCTTTTCTTTTGAATTTATGTTTATATATTTATTTTTTACTAATTTCATTAGTTGAGTTCAGTATTTTCAATTCACTAATTACTAATTCCGTTAATATTCACTAATTCCATTGATGTTATTTGGTACATCTGTGATTTGTGAATATTCACTAATAATTACCGATAATATCTAGAGATTTATTTTTAGAGAATGGAATTTTTGAGTCATTATTTTCTAAATTTTTGTATTTCAATATGAAAGGGTTACTTTAAAGTTTAAAAAATTAAAAGTCTCAATCAAAAAAAGGTAAGTTTTCATAAGCTAGTGTTAATTATATAATTCATTAATGTTTCGTACATGTTTAATTTCTGTGATAATTATTAATAAAAGATAATGGAATTGTTTTCTTAAGACGTTAATCAAATAAAATTCNGTCTTAAACAAAACGAAAGTAGGAAACCCTGGATAACAAATGGGATTGTAGGATTAATAGACGAAAGGCGAAAATACAAAAACAGGACAGACGAAGAAGGGCAAACAAGATATAAAGTTATAAAGTGGGAAATAATTAGGAAGTTTAAGGGCAGCTAAGGAACAGTGGATTGATAGGATGTGTAAAGAAGTAGAAGAAAAGTTTGAAGTAGGTAAAATCGATGAGGCGTATAATATAATTAAAAGGAATTTTAGAGATATAGGGTACAGTAGTAATAATATAAGAAACGAGGCAGGGGTCATTTTGATAGAAAATGAGGAAAAGGCAGATAGGTGGAAAGAATTTTAGGGAACATATACGCAGGCCATGAGTTAGGAGATATAGTAGAGAAGGAAGATAGTGTGGAGATAGATGAGCTAGATTATCCCATAATGAGAGAAGATTTCGATGTAGCATTAAGAAATTTAAGGAATAATAAGGCGCCAGGTGTAGCTGGGATACAGGGGAAAATTCTAAAACATACAGGACTCGAGGTTAGAGATCGTATGCTTAAGCTAGTTAGTGACATTTGCAAGACGGGGAAAGTTCCAGACAATTATAAACGAAACATGGTAATAACCTTATCTAAAATGAGTGGCGCGGATAGATACCAGATATTCAGAACAATTCTTAAGCTAAACTTCCCTTGCGTCAAAAATCTTAACTAGAATTGTGCAGAGGATGATTGAAAAAAGAGTGGAAGAACTATTAGCGGAAGACCAATTTGGGTTAGAATAAATAGAGGAATGCGGGAGGTCACTCTAGCTTCATGGGTAACAATAGAAAAAACGATAGCAAAAAGGGTTAGTACATACGGAAATGTGGTTTTACAGGCGAATGATGAGGACACCGTGGATATAGAAGGTTAGAAATAAAGAGGTATTAGAAAGAATAGGAGAACAGAGGACTCTATCGAAGTCAATAAGAAATAGGTGAGATAGGTCTAGACGGAAGTTAGGAGATTTCTAGATTTTGTTGTATGGATATTTTTAATACCATCCCGTAGAATAAGTACTAATTGCAATCAGGTAGCCTCATAACTTCACTCTGACAAGAGAAAACAACAAAACTGAACTTGATATTTGTTAAAATTCACATTATAAAATATCTAAACAAAACGTGTAATTAAATTATTTTCTATGAATTAATTCAGGCATATTATTTGTTCTATATAGTTCTCGACGTTCAGGAGATATAAGAACGGATTAAGCTTTTGATCAGTGATTGATCGAAGCTACCAGATGTGGATCTCATTAGCACGACTCCCGAAAAATCATTGTTAAAATTCAATTTATAAAATATCTAAACAAAACTTGTAATTAAATCATTTTCTATGAATTAATTCAGGCATATTATTTGTTCTATATTAGCACGAACGCGTAGGTACTAACCGCATGACGTCCGTACTTCACTGTCCTTCCTAATTGCAATTTTATGATGGGTTTCTTCGGTGATTTGGGTTCAACAATTTATTTCTATATTTTCTGTCTTCGGTATTTAAAAATCATATTCTCTTACTATTGGTTCTCTTCTTCTATCTACAACCCTTAACGCCACCTTCATAATTTTCCTAAATTATTCAAATTCCAAATTCTTCAGTACTAAATCAACTTTCGTTTATTTTACACTTCTTATGCGTGCCTATGGCTTCTTGACATAGTTAAGAATAAGACCAAAATCACAATCATCGGCTGGTAATTTCAGTAAATTACTGATCGAAAACTTAATTCGTTTTTATTAATTTTCACGTAGGCCGACTCAGTTGATATAGACATACTGATGTAATTCGATATAATACGAGGGTGGATTGATAAGTTTCCGGCCTAACCAAGAGATGACGCCACTAGGCCTACCTTGAGGTGACATTCTATAGTACCATCCTTGGATAGCTTGTAGCTATAGTTTCAGCCCGATCTCCTTGCTAGTGTAGGTTTGACAGCACGCTGAACAAGACGCCTCTGTGGTTTTCGTAAAAATGGAAAAGCAGGAAAATCGTGCTGTCATCAAATACTTTTATTTGAAGGGGTTAACGCCGAAGGAAATTAAAAAAGAGATGGACTCAACACTGGGGACATCCTCCCCGTCATATTCAACCGTTAAGCAGTGGGTTTCCGAGTTTAAAAAGGGTCGTGTGAGCACCTCTGATGGGCCTCGCTCAGGACGCCCCGTTGAGGTCACAACTCCAGATATGATCGAAAAAATTCATCAAATAGTGCTGGGAGACCGCAGATTGAAAGTGCGTGAGATAGCTGAGACCTGTAAGATGTCATATGAACGTGTGCAACATATTTTGCACCAACATTTGCATATGGAAAAGCTCTGTGCAAGATGGGTGCCGCGTTTGCTAACAGTCGACCAAAAATTGATTCGAAAAAACATTTCTACCGCAAATTTGTCATTGTATAAGCGTAATCCAAGCGAATTTTTGCGTCGATTCGTAACCGTTGACGAAACGTGGGTCCACCACTACACTCCTGAAACCAAAGAACAGTCTAAACAGTGGATTGGACCAGGGGAACCAACTCCAAAGAAGGCAAAAACAATTTTTTCGGCGAACAAGGTTATGGCTACTGTTTTTTGGGATGCAAGAGGTATTATATACATTGATTACCTTGCAAAGGGTAATACTATCACTGGTCAATACTACGCAGACTTATTGCAACGTTTGAGCCACGAGGTGAAAATTAAACGACCTCATCTGGCGAAGAAAAAAATCTTGTTTCATCACGATAACGCACCAGCGCACACGTCAATCGTTGCGACGGCTAAAATCAACGATCTAAAGTTTGAATTGATGCCGCACCCTCCTTACTCTCCAGACCTAGCCCCGAGTGACTATTTTCTGTTCCCTAATCTCAAAAAATGGCTTGGCGGTAAGAGATTTGCGGACAATGAAGAAGTAATCGAAGCTGTAAATGGTTATTTTGAGGAGCTTGACGAATCAGTCTATAGAGATGGCATTAATAGACTGGAACACCGCTATGAGAAATGTATCAGCCTTGGAGGAGATTATGTTGAGAAATAAAAAAAAAAAATTTTTAAAAACCTTGTTTTTCTTGGTCAGGCCGGAAACTTATCAATCCACCCTCGTATATTAAGTACTGTAGAATAATCGGTATTATTATCTTTTGTAACTTTTTTTGATTTAAAATTGATATGAATCTGGAATTTTCATTTTATCGATTGATAGGTCTTTAAAGTAATATGTCCTTCCGCTTTCCTTAGCCTAACTACGTGTGAAATATACTCTGTGTGTTTAATATTATATTTTCCGTTTAGTTTAACCACACACAGAAGGATTGTATTAGGCATAAACTAAATAAACTATCTATAAATTATTTGATTATGATACGGAACTGTAATAATTATTGAGAACTGTTAAATCCTTTTTATTGTGCTTCTAAAATTTTACGGGATCCAATGGTGAAAACTACATGGTATACAGTCAATCTCTTCATAGAATTAGGCGAAAGCTTTTAAAAAGTCTTTTTCAATTTTTATCGGGGTGTGATAAATTAATTAACCTTTTTGAGGCTTTTTTATCTATCTTCATTGTTAACTTCCCCAATATTTATAATGAGTATTGTTAAAAGATAGATAAAGATAAAGAAGCTTCACAATTTTAAAAGTGTGAGTGATTTTTTAACGATTATAAAACAGTGAAGTTTTTCTATTTTTATTCAATTTTTAATGTTTAGCGTCGATTTTGTTTCAATACGGATGCTTAACTGCTCCTTGTGCAAAAATTTTTTTTGAATCTTTCAAACCTTCCAACATCTGACGGCACTGGGATTGCTTGATAGTTAACTTTAATGGTTAACGAAAAGGGGTTGAGCGTGAGCGTGGTGGGAACTGGGAACACATACGCGGTCTGCTAATAAGAGTGATATGGTGTCCTACATAAATATATACGTTCTGTTTGTGTTCAGTGTTTAGCTGTTTTGGTTCTTTTTTAAATAGGTGTTATTAAAATTGCACGTTCGTTTATTGTTACCTCTACGAAGAAATATCGTAGCTACTAAAGGAACTCTGTCGTAAACCGTTCGTCAGCACTCACAAAGGGTGATGTGGTATGGTAGAAACATGTGATTTCTACAGCGGATATTTTAGGATACCGTATTGGTGGAAAGCAATTCTGAAGCAAATATTGTAAGATATAAGAAATAAAACACTTGGTACACTTTTGTTTCACAGTTTATTTAGAACACTCTAACAATTGTTTCGCCTGCTAAACCATTATCAAAGAGAATAATTTTACGAAAGTAACAATTATGCTTATATATACATATGTAGGGGTTAGATGAATAAATTTAAAAGTGGGGAGGTCTAAAATTCAATTTGGTCGTTTAGTACATTATCTTGATGTTTGCAAGCTTTTTTAATTTGTAATATTTCATACAGATCTAGCCGTTTGCCTTTATTTCAATTATGTAACAATTTACAATTTTCTGTATCAATGAAATGATCGTTTGTAATGCAGTGTTCGGCTAATCCAGTAAATTTTTTATTTTGGATGATAGATCTTTTATGTTCTTCTAAACGGGTTTTTAGAGCGCGACCTGTTTGCTCTGCCTCCTATATTGGACAAATATTGGACTCTTTATTAATGGTTTAGCAGCCGAAACAATTGTTAGAGTGTTCTAAATAAACTGTGAAACAAAAGTGTACCAAGTGTTTTATTTCTTATATCTTATTAAATATGTTTCACCAAGTGCCTAGCCAAGAATCAATCAAGAATTAAATATTGTAATGTATAAAAAATGTAGGCCAGAGTATGGGATATGATCAATTAAGTCTGTATTAAGCATTAAAACAACAGTAGTGCAGGTTTATATACCTTTGCTACATCATCTTATAGTGATAAAAATGTATATACATTATAGATGAGGTATAAGCGAATATTGAGGATATTTTAAATTTAGTGAGAGACATCAAAACCTCATTATACTCGGAGACTTCAACGCAGTACTAGGTGAAGGTAAGGAAGAGGTAATAGTAGCAGACATCAGAAATAGTAGGGGAAATACATTATAAAGGTTTTTAAGGATAATTTTGTTTTAAATAAAATAAGATTATAAAAGTTTGGGTAACAAAGGGATTAAAACAGACAAAAATAGAACAGATTATGAAAGACAAGAAAGGAAATTATAATAAGTGGGAAAACACTCGGAAGTGTCTGACAGCTAAGCAGCAGGGGATAGATGATAGCTGTAAAGATGTACAGGAAAGTAGGCAAAACTGGTGGGACTTATAATTAAATGGAATTTTAGAGAAATCGGGTAGGTACAGTACAGCAGCTAGTAAAATAGTTTGGAAAATATCGTAAAGAAATAAATATTATGCACTGTAATTTCAAAATAATTAAATACGTAGAAGAAACATTAAACATATAACATTCTATTCCTTTATCGGATATTTTAAGACATAAAATAAAAATTTGCTCTCTATCGGACTCACATCTTATAGTAGACGTTTTCTTAAATGCAATGGCTTTTTTGGTAGGAACAACATACCAAATTTAAACAAACAATTCCTACCAATGAATTGGGAGGATCCATTACTCATTTATTTCCAGTTATGTTTTTTCATCTATATCTAACCTTCGTTTGTTTGTGTAGGCAATAATCAATTATTGCCTACACAAACGAATGTTACATCAAAAAATCCACTTTTATAAAAACAAACATTTATTGAGCAAATACTTAATTCTTATATAAAAAATACATAACATTTGATTTTTAGTCTTTCTTGGATTTTTTGTTTTCCTTAAAAAGTTTTTTTAGACATACATATACAGACGTCACTATAAGGAAAATTATCACTACAGCAAGTGCTAATACATCCAAAAGAATATATTGGTACCATTTCAAATTTAACGTAACAGACTTTAGATGTGGTGCTCCTTTATGTCTGATAACATATTCAATCCACCACACGGCCCTATCAACTGGTTTGGTTTCTTGATCGTGTAAAATATCCGAACGAGTTTTTATACCTTTCTTATATCTGCAACAAAACAACAAAATTCTGTGGATTAATATATTGTTACCTAATTGTTTGAATTATTACTGTCCAGTATGAAAATTAACTCATGAAGCTCTAGCCAGAGACATATTAGAGGCAGAAACAGGAGTTAGGAGGGGTAGAGGTAGACCTAGATTAAATTAGTGATCGCAAATAGTTAAGGATGTGGGTTGTTCTAGTTTTAGGGAAATGCGATGTTTAGCTCAGGATAGAAAAGAGTGTAGGTACGTGTCCAACCAGTCTTAGGACTGACAACCTTATGATGATGATGAATATTACATAATTTCTGCACTTTCGAAAATCAATCTGTCTCTGAATATAAATTATTATATTCTTGTATCAGTTTATTTCTGCTGTTTTCTTAACACATTTTATTGTAAACAAAGGGTTTTCAGTAAATGATCACAATCACCCACAAAAATACAGTAATACGTTTGGAAAAGCATCAAATATTTTTTGTTTAGCAAATATCTTTTTTCTGATTGTTCTCATACATTACATACCTACAATAAGTTTTACCACTGTACTGAAAAGTTTGGTTACGGTGTAATTACCAAAAACAATGTCCATAAACATAAAAATGTTTATAAACAGCAACCTAAAATAAAAATGAGAGTCGGATAATTGTTACCTGTTGTTGGTTAATATTTCGTTGATAAGCAATTTGAACTGCTGTTTATCAAAATCAACGAAAGGTAGTTTCAGACCATACCCAAGAGCTTCAATTTCTGCTGCATTCATCAGTTGATCGCCAAAAACTGGCAGAGCTAAAAGAGGTACTGCATGATAAATGGCCTCTATTGTACTAAGTAAACCACCATGGGTTATAAATAACTTCAAATTTGGATGCGCTAGAAAACAGAAATATTGTGACTAACAATATGCTTGATTTCAATTTAAATAATTTCATTAATAAAGACAATAGCATTACATTAGTAATATGATTGATTGATTGATGTGAAATTTAATAATTTAATATCAGCGTACTGTTACTATAAATTATGATAAATAACCTATTCTGATTAACAGCTACTTAACTTCTACAGAAATTGAGGATGACTTATACAATTTTTAAAATTTATAAATTATATTCAAATAAACAGAAAGTAGCTTCACTTCCCATGCGTCAAAAATCTTAACTAGAATTGTACAGAGGAGTTTGGAAAAAAGGGTGGAAGAACTATTAGGGGAAGATCAATTCGTTTAGAAGAAATAGAGGAACGCGGTAGCCCATTCTATATTTACGGGTAACAATAGAGAAAACGATAGAAGAAGGAAAAAGAGCATACATAGCATTTGTAGATTTAGGAAAAGCTTTTGACTATGTTAAATAGGACAAGTGGTTAAATATACTGAAAAATGTAGGGATGAGTTATAGAGATAGAAGAGTTATACTTAGTTTGTATCAAGAGCAACAGGCAGTTGTAGAGCTGGGGCTGGAACGTAGAGAAGTAAATATTAGGAAGGGAGTCAGACAGGGATGAACACTGTCACCGCTACTTTCTAATCTACACATCGAAGACTCGATCTACATTATTAAAGACAGTACAACTGTAAGGATAGATGTATAGGGGCAAAAGATTAGTACGGTTAGATTTGCAGATGATATAACAGTATTAGCATCTACCGAGGAGGACTTAGAGATAGCTATAAATAAAATGGAAGCGGTACTGACAAAACAGTACTGTATGAAAATAAATAAAAGTAAAACTAAAATACTGGTATGCAAGAGAAGAGAAAGTAGGGAAAGAGCGAATATAAAGATAGGAGACGAAAAATTAGAAGAAGTGGTCGATTTCAGGTATCTAGGAAGTCAGATAAGTCAGGACGGAAGAAGTAGTACGGATATAAAGCAGAGGATAGAGCAGGATCGAGTCGCTTTCAATAAAAAGAAGTCACTTCTGTGCTCTCGAACGATTGATTTAGAAGTTCGAAAAAAAATGTTAATGGCGCGGCACTGTACGGCTGCAAAACATGGACGGTGGGCGCGGCAGAAAAGAAAAGGTTAGATGCGTTCGAAATGTGGTGTTACAGGCGAATGATGAATGATCACCACCTGTAAGCTGGGCATTTATTTCGTCTATTTCTTATTGATTTCCTTAGTTTTCTTACTATTATGTAAGTATTTGTAAAATATTTATTTCTAAAACACTACATATCAGACGCTTCTAAATCATTCTTTTCCGAAGCAACTACCGTCCACGTTTCACACCCTTACATCAGAGCCTTGTTCCAAATATACAGCTTTAATAATATTTTTAAAAATTTCAATTTAACCGATCGCGATTGTGAATTAGTAAAAAATTTTGCATATCATTGTTTGAAGTCTGTTGATAAAAATAAACCCGCTTTAGTGTAGTAATACTTCCATATACGTAATATATATTTACTAATATAATTATTGCTGTCTCAAGGTTATAAGATAACCTTAAGTAGATAACATGTAATCATATATTAAATTTTTAAACAAAAGTGTAATAGCAACCCGAGATAAAAATGTTCAGTCTCTCATAGTCTCTGAAAGCGAGACTCGAGTCTCCGTCTCTCATCGAGTCTCTCTGGTGTCGCTAAGAGAGACTGTCAAAAAAACTGTTTAGCGTCTCTGAACGAGAGACTCGAGTTGCTCACAGAGAGATCCTCATTTCGTATCCAGTCTCGGAACGAGAGACTCAAATCTCTGAACAAAAGACTCGAATTTCTGAACAAATGACTCGAATCTCTGAACGAGAAACTCGAATCTCTCAATAAGTGGTGTCTCGATAAACATGCTTGAAATTTTCTAAGTTCAACATATTTCAGAGATCCCAGTCTTTCTACGAGAGACTCGAGTCTCTCAATTTTTCAGTTTTACGCATTCAGTCTCTTTGTGAGAGACTCGAATCTCTGAATCAACAATTTTATCGTTCGACTCTCTCATACAGAGACTGTGAGAGAGCCATAGAAACATCTAGGCAATAACTGAGAGACTGTAGAAGACTGTGAGAGACTGGAGAGAGACTGAAAATTATTGTCTGGAGAAGTCATACCTAAAACATCCTGCTGTGGAAACCATTTTTCCATTTTTACATTAGATGGCTTTTGGAATGTTACATCTTCTTCCCATTTCCAAAGAACTTTTTGTTTAAGATTAGAAAATACTCGCAACATAGCATCCCTAGTTTCTGTTGGCATGTCTTTAGATTTAGCGCCCGATCCTAAGCTGAAATAGATGACGCCGTCTGTTGCACTGTCCATGTACTTCTTAAGATCGTTAGGTAAATCACGTGGCGGACTAACGTGATAACCACCAATATCAATCATATTTGGAACACTCGGTACTGAATACTTGATACTAAAGTGTGTATTCATGAGGATTAATGACGAATTATAGTACAAATCCTCAAAAGATGGAGCTTCAGGGAAGTGCATCTTCAATAGCTCTTTGTGTCTAGGAAGTACAACCATGTGTCGATGGACCAAAGCAAAACAATAAAACAACGTGTTATAAAATCTCTGCCATAATGTCATATCGTAACTGTAGCCCAGAAAAAAATCAGGATAATAAGCAGGAGACCCTGGATTTCCTGTTAAATCGCTTACCCATCGTGAGTAGCCTATAGGACTGAGGTAGATATAAGGAGCTTTGAAACGATGAGAGAGGCCTATTAAAGCGTCATTCATAAACCTTTCGAGTATAATTAGATCAAATGTTTCGTTTGAATTGAGAAGATCGACGAATGCTGGATGATTTAAAACACGTTCGGTTAAATCAACTCCAATGCCATTGGCAAACATTTCTCTTTTGTAGTTAGACATTGAAAGGAAGTCAAACTTGTTTCCTTTTGTAAACAAACAATATGAATTAGAATTTTTGTCGGAAGAATGCATTTAGTGTGTCGAATTAAAGTCGATACAGGGTTATCTAGGTAGATTTATTTTATATTGAGTATACAAGGCATATCTTGGTAAAGTCTTGTAATTAAAGACAAAACATCACTTGTTGGTTTTCCAAATAAAATATTTTTATCGGCTTTGATTCTACACATCATAGATGAAGGGGATTGATTTGGAAATTAGAATGCAATTTCTATTGGGTTGTTGCAATCTCCGGATTTTTTGTATATTTCTAACGAAGGGTGCAAATGCGCCAATCAACTCTTGTATAAGTAATGAACTATAAAAAAAAAACTTGCGAAGGTATTTGTATTTCACTTATAAGAGTATACAGGAACGTAGAAATTCACATTTGTTTGACGGAATGTTTTTCTTTTTATGTGTCACGAAAGAAAGTCTATCTGAAAATATCTCAGACTTCTCTGGAAATTGTCCTAAACTGTCAAAACTTTTTAAACAAACGTAACAAAGGCTTTAAATTGCATTTATTAGATTTGTATTACTTAATTATTTATATACAAGGATGACTGAATGTATTTGTACGAATTTTCTTATACCATTTTGCAGTTTTCGGAAGGTGATTCCACTCATTGATGATTGCATGCGATAAAATATGTATCGCTTATGTTAGGGTCTCAAATTACCACTAGTGTGGTAAACTTGGACAAAACAAGACTTGTAAAACAATGTAAAAACCGATAGATAAACAGTTCTTTCTTTATAAAAACTTGTAAATAGTGTATATATTATTATATAGTTTATTTAGGGTAGTTAGACATATAGTAGGTAGTTAATTTAAATTTTAGCATTAAGTTGATGATAATAGTTCGAGAAATAATAGTTTTAAATAGTTATCCCCAATATGCAGGATGTTGGAACTGTCGAAATTGGGCTTATGACCAGTTTCTACATGGTGTTTTGATAAGCTCTTCTTTGTACGAGTAAGCCATTAGAATGTTTTTTGTAGTCATTTTTGTGCTTACAATTCTTATGTTATTCTTATTCTTAGTTTGTTCAATATAGCTTTTTTCTTTAATTTTATTAATCGACTTGAATGCAAGATATATCACCTATTACAAATTACTAACATTAACTTTATTTGTTTACTTATTTTTGTGAAACTGTTTATCAGTTATATATAAACTTATTAAGTATTTCCAGGCAAAACTGTATACGATAATTTAAAAATTGCCTTTGATAACATTCATACTACAAGCTGATAAACAGTTCATAGACCTTTAAAGTTGTAATTTGAATAAATCAGAGGTATTTTCCCAATAGAAATGCACAAACATGTATCATAATAAGCACAACTCTCTCATTATAATTGCATAAATATGCATCGGTTAAGAGTTAATATTCATACCAAATGCGATGCCTTTGGTGAAATCCTTTAGAATTATTTCATTCCATGTTTTTGGAGGGTTTTCTAACGAAAAGTGCGTCACTAGGGTAACATGATGCCCCTTTTCAGCCAATGGTCGTAAAAGTTTTACACCCAACGAATAATGACTGAAAGTTGGCGCATGGATCACAGCAAGAATTTTGGCAGAAGTTACGTAGCCTATAATTGCAAACAAACACGCACTAAGACCGCACAACATCATTTTATATTACGTTAATTATTACGAAAATATTGACCAACTAACGACTGCATTGATTGCAATTCATTAAATATTGCGCTTTGTACGACATACGTATATATATATATATAAAAATTATCTAACCAATGGAGAGGGAAACTCTTAAAATATGTGTTTTCAATGATTACAATTACAATACTTGCTATAAATAATTACTTATATTTGTGTAAAGAGAACGAAAATGTTTTCTACGATAATACCTTACATACATACGTTCTGATTGATGTTGCAGATTAAACTATATATACGTAGTTTATTATTAGGTTTATTAATAAAATTTACGGTTTTAAAGAGGTATGAAAAAATATTGTATAATTTTAAATAAGTGCAGTAAATTACGTAATAGGACAAAACTATAAACCAGTAAACATTATGAAATCACANCCAAAAGATCTTTGCAGCAAGTTACGATGTTTATAAAACAGTTTATGGTGATTAATACGTTAAATAAATAAATTCAGGAACTAACATGCTAAAAGAAGAAAAGAAAACATCAAAAAAGTTAAAATTGACATTTTGAAATCTCAAAGAGGCCACTGACTTATCCTCTTATAAATCTACTCTATTCTGGCACAGGCGTTTGTAAAATTAAATAGTGTTCGTAATAAATTGATGTAGATAATATTGTGCCTATGTACGGTATCTTATCACTGTTAATTAGGCAATAATCACGAAAAAACGAATTAACAAATTAAATAAGATGAAAGTGATAATAATGAACATTCTCCTGAGATGTTCTGGATTTGCATTTTATCTAGTATGATAATCTCACAACGATACGCACATCCAATAAGCCGAAGTATTTACGGCACTGTTTTGTTTTCTTTGAACTAATAACTTAGGTCATTGTTGCATATGTACACTGGTTCCTTTAATTATTGTAAGGTACTGCTACCACGTATCTGAGATTGGTGTTATAGGCAGAATGTGGTTACCACATTTGGGGAAGGTGGGTGGCACGGGTGGTAGATCCTTTTGAGTACCAATGTGAATGATTAGGTTCATTCCAATGGCTATGTGGAAAAGGAAGTGACAATGGAAAAGCCACCAACCTAAAACAATTATCACAAATTTTATTAACATATTTTTCAACCATCCACACTTCTCTAGTCCCACAATGGAACTCGTTCTGATTGATGTTGCAGATTAAACTATATATACGTAGTTTATTATTAGGTTTATTAATAAAATTTACGGTTTTAAAGAGGTATGAAAAAATATTGTATAATTTTAAATAAGTGCAGTAAATTACGTAATAGGACAAAACTATAAACCAGTAAACATTATGAAATCACAACTGGAATTTCGATAAACCATCTTATAAAAATTATTCAACTATTGATCTGGATTTGCTACATCTTTAGTAAGAAACGTTCTGGGATTTTGTAATAACCAAACCGCAGATCAAGACTCGGACCGTAGCAATCCTAGTGTTGGTCTTAGTCTTCATATTTTCCATCGGACTTGTTCGTGCTCTTAATAAGAAGAGAGGAAAAAAAGAGCACAATTTCATTAAAATAATTAATAAGAAAGTTTCCATTTGTCTAAAACAACACTCACGTATAGTCCTAACAATTCTGAATTAACAAAAAAAAAATGGAAATTATTTTACAATTGGCTAGTTTATGCTGGCATGCTGTCTCAGTTACAATCAGTAGTCACTTCGCGTTACTTAAACTACTGTTACTACTACGAACAATTTTTTTTTCCTTTTTTCCTGTAGCAAAAGATCTCTTTTACTAGACTTTACAGTTAAAATCAGTTTTTAGACAAAACGCGTTTTTCCGAAGCAAGTCAAGTTAAAAATGTTCCGATCGAAGTTAAAGTTCATCATAAAAATGTTTCTTAATAATGTTCCTTTTTTAAATTATTATAATTGTGTTCTGTTGACTGGTTTGAATATATTTTTTACTTTTAATTAATATTGTCACCTTGGCTACTACTTTATGTCGATGTACCTTAAAACGTTCCTTTATGTAAGATTATTATTTTTACTAAGTACATGACTGTGTCCTGGATCCTTTTATTAAATATTTTTAAAATTATATCTTGTTTTCAATCCCAAATTAGTTTCTCTAGTGCTAGTTTTAACTAAAGCCTGGAGTGACAACTAACTTCAAATATATCAGTAGTAAATTCCAGTTTTGACTAGGTATTTCTAATTTTACAAAGGCATTTAGTAAAAACTAGTTCTAACTAGGGACAACGCGTTCTATCCAAAAACGGGTTTTAACTGTAACATAACAAACAACCCAAGAAACTCTCGAAATTCTTTTGTTACGCGGTCATGCTTGGTGGGCATGCAGATTTTACGGCCATACTATACTTCGTTCAGTTTCTCTAGCGATGCAATCTTTAGTTTCACGCAAAGTACAAAAGAACTCATCACTATACCAGAAAAGAAATACGGTCTAATCGATGTGTTGATTTCGTCGCATACCCGACTAGAAATTTCGGTTCGTTTTTTGTTTAAGGTCCATATTAGGTCAACTGAATTCCTTACTCGTTCCGAATAAGGCAAACGAAGAAAGCCCTGGTTAGAAAAACAACGCAATTAAGGGATTATTTCGGGCAAAGAAATTAGTAAACAAATAAACTTTACACTTTTGTGATATTAGCAAAAATATTTGAATTTTCACCATTTTCAAGTTTAAATCAAATCTGAACCACGATCGCTTTGATATTAGTGCTAACTGCTGAATTAACGAATCCGATTCTTTGCTAAATTAATTTTGTAATAAAAGTAGAAAATCAAACATTAATGTTTTTTGGGCTAGATATGCGTGCATTTGTATATCGTTTTATTGGTTCTAAGTTGTCAATAATTAAGGAGGGGCTAATGAATTGGAAATTAGACTTAAGAAAAAAGACTATTTTGTGAAATAATACTTTTTTTATAAATTTCTTTAATTGTTACATACATATATATATATACAAAGTTANGTCGGAGCTGTCTGCGACGCGCTGATGAGATCCAAAAAGATCGAAATCGCGATCCGCGTCTGGCAGTTTCGACAGAATACAGACCACTTCGAATTATTTTATGTGAAAATTAATTTTCAATATTTTAACCGCTATAAACTACCTCAGGTTATTGATGGAAAATTGGTTGCTGTTGTCAAACCCTCGCATATCTATTTTCAAATTAAGTTTTGGTATTAACCACTATTAAAAGCCAAAGTGTTTCATTTATAATAGGTTACAAAACTTCGATAACACGAATCGCTGTATAGCGTCAGTTACTCACCTGGATTGTTAGCTCTAAATCTAAACACCACGTAACCGTTGTTTGGAACAGCTATGGTGTCTTTCGATGGAGGTAAATGGAATTGCCTGTGCAAGAGACCTTTCCTATCCAAGTCCAGAGCGTGTTTCAGATTGATCTTTTTGATATTTTGATCGGGAGACCGCCCAATACCAAGTACATGGAATGAATGGCCATGTAAATGGAAGGGGTGACTCAAATTAGGCGATTGTACTAAAAGCAAAACAATTTTAAATATAAATTACCTCCTTTCTGAAATATTTCTCTTTTAGAAAATATTTAAGTTAGTAATACCTTCATCAACAAGAACCACTTCTACTACAGCATTTAAGGGAATATCTATGGTGTGTGTGCAATAACAATTGGGACCGCAGTCTGCAGGCCTATTATCACCATTGCAGAATTGTTCTGGTGGAAGGTCATCCAATTGTGAAAGAGGTGGTGCAGGAGGTGAAATGTAGGATATTTCATCAATTAAGCTAATAACGTGGTCACCTCCAAGAGCAGCTGCAATCAATATCATTGATGTAATACCATCAATTAAAATGGTAAATCGATTGTTTATCAATGTTGAAAATCTTCAATACAGTCTTGAAAAGCATAGCCAAAAGGGTTTTGCCAGCATAATTCAAAACAGGAATGTTCCATTTATTTTCTGTACGGAAGTCAATAAGAAATAGGCTAGATAGGTTGATAGGACACCTTCTCAGGCATGAAGGTCTAATCAGAGACATATTAAAGGCAGAAACAGGAGTTAGGAGGGGTAAAGGTAGTCCTAGATTAGATTACTATTTCAAACGGGAAATGAGAAGGTTAACTTAGGATAGAAAAGAGTGGAGGTGATGATGACCTTATGATGATGAAGGGAATTATTGTGGTAAGTACCTACTTTTGAAGAGACTATTATCTCACCTAAGAATATGTGGTATGTGTTAGGTTGAAATAACTGCTCAGGAGTGTAAGTGAAGAATCTGAATGGCAAGAATATTTTTATATCAGGCCTCTCCTCTAGGATTCCAGGATCCACCTTTTTGGCATTGCTCAGTTGACTCACACAGATAGCCTCCTTACGGGGTTTATTGCAAATTGCGTCTAACGGATTAAGAACCTGTAGCAAAAATGGTTAGTTTCTTTTGAAGTTGTTTCAATTTCTTATAGGTACCTACCTACCTATCTACATAAGACCCATATATGTTACCCGAGATAAAAATGTTCAGTCTCTCAGAGTCTCTGAAAGCAAGACTCGAGTCTCTGTCTCTCATCGAGTCTCTCTGGTGTCGCTAAGAGAGACTGTCAAAAAAACTGTTTAGCGTTTCTGAACGAAAGACTCGAGTCGCTCATAGAGAAATTTTCATTTCGTATCTAGTCTCTGAACGAGAGATTCGAATCTCTAAACGAGAGACTCGAATCTTTGAATTAACAATTTTATCGTTCGAGTCTCTCATACAAAGACTGTAAGAGATCCATAAAAACACCTAGGCAATAACTGAGAGACTGTGGAAGACCGTGAGACGCTGAAAGACTGGGGAGAGACTGAAAATTTTTGTCTAGGGTATGCATAAAATGTTTGGTACTACTGCATTTACACAGCACAATAGGCGTTTATTTACAGTAGCAATTTGACCTTAAGCTTGAGGGCAGTGCTGAATTTACACTAGGAGCACAAGGGCTAGTGCCCAGGGTGGAAAATTCCCAGGGGCGGCAATATTCGGGACGCTATCAAGAATGTTTAAAAATAGTGTGCATTTATCTGAAAAACCGTTAACTTTACAGGTCATTCCTCAAGTTTTTCGTTATTTTCGACCTGCTCAAATCACTTAAAAACATATATACATTTGCATGTAATTAAGCTCTTACAGCCAAAAATCCGTATACATAAATATACATATATATACCTGATATGACTAATACAAATTTCAAGAAATAATTAAGTGTACCACTTCTTAAACAATAATAAATACTAAATAATTTTTCTTATTAGGTAAGGAAAATATTTTATTATTTCAATATTTCTCCACCTTTTTTATTTTATTTATTGAGATTTTAATTTCAATATCTGTCTGAAATACATAATTTCATTTATACTTTAATCCGGCCCTGACGACCTTCAGCCACTTATCTAATTCACATTTAACCCTAGTAAAGCTTAAATTTTTATTTACATTTGTGTGCAAGTGTATAAGTACATGTACATGTGTATTATACACAATTGTATTTTGGCGTTTTATTATGTACATAGAAGTAATACGTATATAGCCTGAAAAAGCAAGCAGGTAAAGAAATAAAGCAGTCTGTATTCCATAATATTTAATGTTGCTAACTGTCATGTACAATTGTTTATATAAAATTGGTACACCAGCTAACACACGTCTATTTACAGTTACATTAATTACGTACAAATTACGCTGCATATGATACACAAAATTAAAATTAGAATAGAAAAATAAGAGAGCTGTTTTATAATTACATATCTCTGATGATACGTCGATTTTATTTTCTAATAAGTCAAAAAATGCGTCCGTTTTTCCTTGAGCGACTTTTGTCTACGTCTAACTAGCATCAATTTAAGCAGGTAACATTAGCATTTCTTTGATTGAGTTGTAGGAGAGATTACTGCTAACCTTACAAAAATACTGTAATCGTAAGTCTTTATATGGGGGGGGGGGACTATGAGGAAATGGGAGAAGGAACAAACTAACTCAGAGTTGTCACAGATGATATTGCTGCTAAAATAATTTTATTTCATTTAAATTAAAAATTCAAACCGTATTACGTCAATTTAATTTACATTTGTAACAGAAAATTAAAGAAAAAAGTAACGAAATCGATGGTAGTCAGTTCTTAAATAATAATAATAATTATTATTATAATAATGTACATGGTTTTACAAGCAGGATGTGTATAAATACAATTATTTACAAGAGTGAAGAATAATTGTAAACATTTACCTTTCATGATGTACAGCAATTATATGATGGTGCAGTGATAAAGAAATTCGTTTTAATAGCTACGTTAAACTTACCTTAAAATGGCGTCAGAAAGTGACAAAACTTTTGCATAATCGTCGCTACGAAAAGAAATTGAAAACAGAAAAAGAAATGTAAATATATGATTAAGCTAGGAATAAATGGAAAGTAAGTTACGAACTTGTTAACGTAAGTAATAATACTGATTACAAGTATTTTTTGAAAATAAAATGGCGTTAGTTAAATTTTGAAATGGCAAGAGAAATAAAGACGAAATTTGGCAAAAGATACTGAAGGACGATCAGTGACAAATATATAAATAAATACGTTTTGTTTTCATTTTAAACATAATCCCCAGTATCTGGTGTTACCAAGTTTCAGCCTTAACCCGGCTGAAATAAGCGATAAATAACAATTAACTTGAATTAAATAACAAAACGTTTGAGCTAAGGTACTCTACTAGGATCGAGAGAAATTTCCGGTAAATGGTCCATACATCTGGGGAAACCTGGAGGAACAGGGGGCAAATCGCCAAGGGTGCCCACTTGTAGAATCAAATTCATGCCAATAGCTATATGGAACAAAAAGTGACAATGGAACAACCAGAAACCAGGATTGTTTGCCCTGAACCTCAAAACTACATATCCATTGTTTGGTACAGCAATTGTGTCTTTGCCAGGTGGAAGGTTGAAGTGACGGTCCAATAGACCCTGTCTATCCAGATCGAGGGCATGTTTGAGGTTGATTTTTACGCTTCTATCAGGTGATCTACCCATTCCAATTATATTGAAGGCGTAACCGTGTAAATGGAAAGGATGGCTAAGATTTGGTGATTGAACTGAAAACGTAAAACATCGCGTTTAATATCCAACTTTAAAAACATATTCCAATTAATAAATAGATACCTTCATCGACCAAAACGACCTCTACGATGGCATTGAGTGGAATGTCGATCTTATGAGTGCACATACAATTAGGTCCACAGTCTGCTGGTCTGTTGTCACCATTGCAAAACTGTTCGGGGTTAATGTCATCGTATTGGGAAAGTGGTGGAGAGGGTGGCGCCATATACGAAATTTCATCGATTAAACTTATGACGTGATCTCCATTTGGAGCAACTGTAAAACAGAAAGTTTTCTAAATCAAAATTTAAATCTTACGTAAGAGAAACAATCAGTGCTATTATGTAATTGGAAAATAAATGTGATACAATATGTTGCATTAGTCATGTCAAAACCATAAACAAAAATACACTTTAGGAGTCTTTCAGAGTCTTTCAGCGTCTCTGAGAGCGTCTCTCACAGCCTTTCACAATCTCTCAGTTATTGCTTAGGTGTTTTTATGGATCTCTCAGTCTCTGTGTGAGAGACTCGAACGAAAAAATTGTTAATTCAGCGATTCGAGAGAGACAACAGATTAAAACTGAAAAATTGAGAGACTCGAGTCTCTCACAGAAAGACTGGGACCTCTGAAATATGTTCAACTTAGAAAATGTTAACCAGTCTCTCGTTCAGAGATTCGAGTCTCTCGTTCAGAGACGCTAAACAGTTTTTTAGCAGTCTCTCGACAGTCTTTTTCAGCGACACCAGAGAGACTCGACGAGAGACGAAGACTCGAGTCTCGCTTTTAGGGACTCTGAGAGACTGAAAATTTTTATCTCGGGAACACTTTGAAATAATATTTGAAATGGAGATTAAAGAATTATCCTAAGGGCCATGATAGTTTGAACAAATTTAAGAAATCTTCACAGTTGAAGAAAAGGCTGTTTAGGTTGTTGTTTGATGAGTGACCGAAGTACTGAATTTAATGTTTTGGAATGACTAATGAAACATCTTGTACCTGTATCATATGAATAATTATGGTAATAAAAAAATGGGTCCGTACCTAAATGTCTGTTGTATGTGTTTGGTGCAAACAGATCTTCAGGAGTATATATATGGAACCGGAAAGGCAAGAAAATCTTGACATCTGGCCTTTCTTGCAAAATTCCTGGGTCAATGTTCAAAGCGTTTTTCAGTTGATTAACACAAATTGCGTCGGTTCTAGCCTCATTACATCTTGCGTCGAGTGGATTTAAAACCTAGTTAAGGTTCAGTTGAAATATACAAGGTCTTATACTATTACAAAATTATCAATGGACCTACCGTTTACTAGCTGGTTGACTCAATAAAAGTTTTTGAAATGTATTTACAAAATTTACATTGCATATTTATATTTGTATAGTATATGTATGTATCTACAAATGTACAATTATTGGAAGAGATAACAGAAGAAGAAATCGTTTTTAGTTTCTGTTTTTTATAAATTATTTTAATTTGTTGATTTTTAAATTTCTAAGATAATTTCGTTTAAATTTCTAAATCGGGTTGTAATTTTATCAAATAACTGGTCATAATAAACAAAAGTAAACTATGAAACAGAGGGCACCTTATAGGGCCAAAAAGTGACCTATTTTGTTTATTTTAATTATTAGTTACCAGTTATTTGATATCTTCTTTTATTCTGTATTTTCTAGCAATTAATCCGTAACTTTTCAAACAATTTTTGAAAACATTTATGACACATTAAAAATAATTTATAACAGCATGATTTCTTCTTTCAGTGGATATCATCTGATAGTATATTTACAACAATATATTGTAGCCAAAATGAAATGATGATACCTGCACAATAGCAAAACGTAACTTCTTAGGCTCTGTACAATTTTTTTTACCTTGCTTAAGCTTATTTTGAAGTGTTTGCCTGTATAGTTTTTATAGACACATAAATATGTGGAGTAATTTATGTATGTACATATTTGCATTGTCAGAATTTGAGAATCATTTGATTGCTATATACAAGCGACAATAATAACTTACCACTCCTTGGGGAAGACCGATATCATAAGTGGGAGCAGCAGTGCTTGGTTGGTATGGCCCTCTGGCATACCGCAAGATGGCAAGCTGCTGAACTCTTCGAATACCGCATTCACCAAGCCCTCTAAGCTGAATCCAATAAGCGTCGATGTTTTGATCAGCATTGATGACAAAGTCATAACGCTCACCTAAATTATTTAACGCAATATTTACTCAAAATGAAAAAATTCTCTCATTGTGTTTTTGTTAATAAATTAAAAAATATTGAATCGTCTCTATAATGTTTTCATAAAATGTAGGCAATGAAACAATGGCTTCTATGTCAACAGATTTTGAGAAAAGCAGATTTGTCTATTGCCGGAATTGTGTTCGAATTATTTGAATATTTATATATTTGAATATCTACAATATAAATGTTTAAAAAGAATTATTTGAAATACAAATGTTACGATATCCAAAACTTCAAGGGGTTAAAAGTTTCTTTAATTTTTAAAAAACCACACCGACGTTTCGTCTTTGATGTAAGATTATTTCAAGGTAGGTCTTTGAAGTTGGTACAGGTCGACCGACGAATCTTAAGCCGAAAGATGCGCACAAGGTGGGAAAAAGAGCGAAAAGGAGTAAAAACTGATCGATACGCTTCTCAGCCCGTTCTCAGGTTATGTACAATCAAAGGAATAAGTAAATCTGATTTCAATGCCGTCTACGGTATTGGTACTAATGATTTGCTGTCCATATTGCACTGATTCTACGCAGACTATACACGATGATCACTACTCTACAAGTGTGTTCCAAAATATAATTCAGCGGACTGGCCCGTGCTGATGACGTCATAAATCGACGCCATACTGTTGATTCGTTCCGAAATGTACTGGCCAGTGCGTTGACGTCATATTGAGAATAGCGTTTGTGCTCGTTTACAACAATTTTGCTCAAAAAGTTTCTTACAATAAAAAAATCCTCAAAGTTTGATGCACACACGCCCGTTTGATATACCACTACGTCACATTTGTCACACCAGTACTATATGGTGGCACACCAGCACAATATGGCGTCGATTCGTGACGTCATCAGCATTGACCAGTATGCTAGGTTATATTTCGGAACACACCCTACAACGTTGTTGATACGAAGTGAGTTTAAATCTAGTTGCGGCTACAGATTCGTTAGTCGATCTGTACCTATATATACAATTAATTTGATGGTGTGGTTTGTGGTCAAGATACACATTATTCACAATTAGATAGATAGATTGTAACACACAATTATAGATATAAAGTAATAAATATAAAAAATAATCAACAATCACTTCACAAACAAATCTGTCGAGAACATCTGTTAACTCAAATTGAATTTTTGTGTTTAGCATAATAGGAACTCTTAAAAGTTTATTCACGTCAATTGAACTGTCAAATAACGTTGCAATTTGTGTTAAGTAGACCGAATAATGTGTTGAAGTCATTAATAATACATGAGATGTTGCTGGCAAAATTTGACTTTATTCCGGCAGTGAAGAAGGTGTATGACTAGACCACATGGAATAAATTCGTGGTTTCTAGTGTTAAGACACGGTAGCATTTGTTTCGGCATTTGAACATTTGTTGTGACATGTAAATTAAAAAGCATATTTCAACAGTTGAGATGCGTAACGAGGACAATCATATGACAGATATCCGTTCTATTTCCGTTAGAAAATTATAAGACGGACATCGTTCATTCATTCTATGAGTTTTTCAATTTATTGAAGAAGTAAGACCCACAATTAAGTACATTTTAAAAGATAACAATTTTCCGCGAACATGTTTTTTACACTTTTACTGATTTAGTTCATTACTCATATATTTTGCAATCAACTCCAGAATTAGTAGAGCAAGCTGCGACTTACTTATTAGAGTGCAATTATACGAAAACAAGCAGATATGACTTCGTGGGAAAATATTGTTTAAAGTTGTAACACCTTCCACAGGTGCTAGAATATGACGTTAAGTAACTGAGAATGCGACAAAAAAACTTTGAACGGATATATTTGTAATACGATTCTTTTGCAATAAACCACAAAAAGATCGGAATATTTTTATTTTCAGCCTTGAATATGTCTTAATTTGAACTTGAATAGCCCATGAAAGTATACTTTCAATTGCGTACAAAAATTGTACCTATTACCTATATTTAATATTCCTAATATAGATTTCGAACAACAGGGCTACATTTACTATTAATTCAGGTATTTCATGGTCATTTTAATTGTTACTTGTCAGGGAATAATTCGTAGTTAAGAAAAAAAAAGAGACTCACAGTTTTTAAACCAACTATTCAATCAACTAAGTACAATAAACGGAGAAAAAAACTATTCACAGAAACAAATAACCATGAAAATCGTTGCCATATCCTCATTTATGGTTATATATACATAAGTACTTCACCATACTTTCACTTGTACATAAAATAGCACAGAAAAATATCATCAATAGTCCATGCAAATTAACATTAATTACTCTTGAGCGTATCGAAAATCTTTTGAACACTTTTCAGATCTTAAGTGAAGATAGGACTTAAGTTTGAACATTTTTACCACTGAAGTTTAGGACTGAATGCTTTACAAAGTTCAAATGTTAGTTTCGTCATATTACAAGTTTGAAATAAATGTCTTTTAAGTCCATATAGGAAAAGGATAAATTTCTTATTACAATTTGCTTTGTTAGCAGGTACCTACATACGTAACTGTATTCAAATGTGCATCATGTAATAATGAAATTTAATAGCAGAAATAGGATCTAACGTGTGTGTGAATAAAAAATTTCTTGCATGAATTAAATAGTATCTGCCATGAACATAATAGAAGGTTAAACATCCTAATAAATAGGCTTGTGAATAATCATTTGCATAATAATTAGAGTTTAATGAAGTAAAAAAGGAAAAAGATTGAAATCTCTTCTTTCGCACGAAAGGATTTCTTAATGCACAACTGCATGCATTTCCAAGCCTATGTGACTGAGTAAACTGAATTCAATTATTATAAAATTATTACTTTGCAAAAATTATTGCTGCATAATTAAGAATGTGTTACGTATACAATATTCCTTTATAAATAATAAAACATTTTTATAAAGAAAGTAAGACAGGGATCAGTGATAACCTGATACATTCTTTAGACTTGTCCAAAACAATTTGCAACATTACAATTTTCTATGTTTAATAAGTATAAACCGTTCGTGAATACTGTCTCTAGAAAATTGTTACTTATTCTGGGATTCAATAAAGTTCGAAAAGGGTCTACTCTCCTTGACAAGGACAGCAAGGATATCGACTTGTCGAAATGAGTCCACGGCGTAGCTACTACGTAATAATCACGCAACTAAACAAAACAAAAACGTTCTTGGTGGTAATCAGTTTTCTGTCAAATGCGCCAAATGTGGATCGTGATTTCGACTTTATTGGATCTCGTTAGCACCCCACATTTCCGACAGAACACAGACTGACATACTGATCACAAAGAACTTTTTGTTCTGCTTAGTTACGTGCTTATCACATAGTAACTATGCTGTGGGTTCAATTCGAAAAGTCGATATCTACACAAGGACCTTATTGAATATTATTAAATCCGATAATAAGAAACAGATGGCGTTGACGTACTGTCTATACTTATTCATCGAACGCTGTTTTACGCCAGCCAGGTGATCGCCAATTGCGATCTACTTCCGGCAATTTCGACAGCATACCGGTCGCTAAGAACTGTTTCTTGGTTAAATACGACAAGTTACTTAGATTTGCGATATCTTAATTTAAATTTATAGATGCCAGTTTCCTGTTAAAGCAAACAATGGTTACGTTTGTAGAGTTTCTAACCAATTCAAATTTCAAAGTGGAAAAGTGAGTAATGATAAAGAACAATAAAGATATAAACGCATAATTTACACACTTACCGGAAAATGATATAATGGTGTTAACTTGTACGGGATGTACAGGTTCTCCATCAGTTGCAATAAGTGTCAAATCGTGTCCTTCAATTGTCAATTGAACAGGACATACTGTAGCTAACGACGTTATTGTTCTGAATCGGTAGCGTCTTCCTGGGGTCACCGTGAATACTTCTAATGGTGTATTGGTTTGGAAACCGGTGTTGGGATCTCTAAATTGACCTTTTCCATTGATAAGTAAACTTTCGGGATCTGTAAAAGAAACATCAGTTAATAATTTTGTTGCATCTCAATCGTTGTAAAATAAAATTACGTACAGAGGTGCGTAACCTGATAGTTAAAAAATTCCAACCATGCTTGAGAATTATTTTTAATTAAAAGTTAATTATTAATTGAACCAGTGCTACAATATATGAATTAATAGAAATAATGAGAGCAATCAGGGTAGTAAGGAATAATTTGTAAACTGAAACTACCCCCAACGTTTCGTCTCTTGGTATGAGATGTTATTAAGGGAGGCTTTTTAATTACACAGCAATGTAATTTACAAAAAATTCGGCGAGCAAAACATCATACAAAGAAGAGACAACGATAACACACAGTATAATCAAAAAAATAAATACCTGCGACAAAAAGTTAAAAAGTTACATTAAGCAGTCACTGTATGATGTGCAAATAAAGAAATAATTAGTAGGTTAAAAGATTACAATCAGGCGCGTGGTGACAATTAGCACAATTAATGATAAATAAAATACAAAAAAGTTATGACTTTTTTATTTTAATTGTCACCACGCAGTTATTTTTAATCTTTTAATTTTTATAAATCATTGTTTTATTTATACATCGTGCTATGTCTACCTAATGTTAGCATTTTTTTTTTTAATCGTTTGGTAGTCTTCTCTTAAGATGCATCCTTTTGTTCGTTAATTACATTATTAAACTGAAATGCCTATCTTGATATCTAATGTCTCATTCCAAGTGACGAAACGTTGCGAGCGGATAAAATCAATAAATTATTACCTTATTCCTTATTGCTTTGTTTTATTTCTATTATGGTTAATCACCAAAATAAATGTTGAAATCAATTATTACTGATAAAAGTGGAGAAGCATTTTGTTTAGTTTAGTTTAGTTGGATTTGATTATTATGATATCCCTAGACAAAAATTTTCAGTCTCTCCAGTCTCTCAGAATCTTTCAGCGTCTCTGAGAGCGTCTCTCACAGTCTTTCACAGTCTCTCAGTTACTGCCTAAGTGTTTTTATGGATCTCTCACAGTTTCTGTATGAGAGACTCGAACGGTAAAATTGTTAATTCAGAAATGCGAGTCTCTCGTTCAGAGACTGGATACGAAATAAGGATTTCTCTATGAGCGACTCGACACTCGTTCAGAGACACTAAACAGTTTTTTTGACAGTCTCTCAACAGTCTCTCTCAGCGACACCAGAGAGACGGAGACTCGAGTCTCGCTTTCAGTGACTCTGAGAGACTGAACATTTTTACCTCGGGATCTTATGCAGTTTCTCCACAACTTTGAACTTTTCACGCATGTATGACTAATAAAAGACTATTACAATTTTCGAAAGTTGAATTGTTTAGAAAAGTGATTTATATTTCAACAATTTAATTAGATTACCTTGTCCAACATTAACTGCCAATCTTCCTGGGAACCTTTCTGCGGCATCTTCGTGCATCCAATCACTCAAAACAATCACGTGTGTTGTTAAATCGTAGTCATAAAGGTGACTGTTGGGATCTTTAGATGGAGCTTGACGAACGACAATGCTTCCGTAGAGACCATCTAACTTCTGAAGACCCGTGTGAGAGTGCCAGAAGTGGGTGCCTGCATTAGCCGCAATCCACTGATATCTACAAATAAAAATATTAAATGTCATTTGAATATTACCTATTTAAATACCATTGGGATGTAAATCTACCTAAATGTGTTTCCTTGCTGAATTGGACATTGCGTTACGAAAGGTACTCCATCGTAGTATTGAGTTCCTCTCTGCCAGAGTCCGTGCCAATGGATAGTCACTTCCATACCTTCCATATGATTTTCCACATCTACGACAACTTTGTCTCCTTCGCAAACTTGTATACTAGGGCCGGGAATCATTCTATTTGCAGTCAGAATACCTCGTTCAACACCATCGGCCAAGACACATTGACATGATGACCATACGGTATTCGTAGCATTTGGTGTACATACTTGGCAAGCCCTGAAAAAAAATGAAATCATTTGAATTTCTATTGTACGTCTTGTTTTACTTCATTCTTATTAAATTAAACAGTATATAGCGCCATTCTGTGATGTCAAATTACCTTTCCGTTAAGGGGTCAAAAGTAGTGTAATTATACCTGTTACAAACCGACTTATTTAGGGTAAACCTACCAAATCTTTGATTTGCTCATAGCAAACTGTGAACATTCATAAAGTGGAAGGCGAATTGGAAAAAAAAAAACTTTTGGGTGTTTCATTCCCACCAGCCAGTAATGCTGGTGGGCGGGCATTCCCTCCGGACTATGCCGGAAGGTAGGGCGGAAGGCCCTCTTCAGCCTACTTTCAGGCATCGTGGGAATGGGTGGGTGGTGGTTCGGGTGAGAAAGATGAGACGGACGAAATGAAGACAGAAGAGAGTGAAAGATTATCTGTGGAATATTATTGCCCCAGCATTTGCCTAAGTGATCCAAGGAAACCACGGAAAAACTTGGACCAAGGCAGACGGACCCGGAATGTAATTCCTCTCTTTTGTTTCATAATATTACCAGAAAAAATGACCGTTCGACTAAATTCACCGGAGAAATGTTGTAGTTACTTTCATTTAACACCCCCTACAACCCCGAGACGATACAGAATATTTTTTAGGTAATTACCAAAGCCGGATTGTTTAAAATGACGTTGGGTTAGGTTAGGCTACTATGGGGTGGAGTAGAGTAAGGAAGAGAACGTAGGGAAAGGTGGAATAGTACATTTAACGTTCTTCCTATGACAAAACTGATTTATTGTAAGGGTAAAGCTGTTTGTGTTGATAGATAAAAGGTTTCGCAGTGGTTGTGTTGGAGTTTCCTTGCTCTAATGGAGCTGTTTAAGGAAATTTGATTTCATGATTTTTATTATCATGTATTATAGCATTTTTCTTTAATGATGGTACATTTTACAAGTCATGCACGTATGATTATTACTGCGTTCTGCGTTAAGGTGGAGTTAGCGTGGTTATTGTAGTTGATCTTCGAGTAAACGCACTTCCTTGCTGTCACTGTTGCAGCAAGGAAACATTTTTCAAATCAAGTTAGTCACAAATTGCACTTGCTAATATAAATGCAAGTTTCTTGTTCGTTCACATGTAGACATTCGAAAGTAAAACCTTTATCTAATAGCTATCATTGCGTCGCCGTCCGAGTGTTAGTTACGACGAATATATCGGTCTACAGAACTGGTTTCCACAACTGTTTTAACAATTAACCGCTTTCATAAATATAAATTCGTTCTCAACAGACATTCTTAATGTTATTCCTTAGCATTAATTGAATACTATTTATTTGGTCAAATTGCTTTCGGTAGCACACATTTTGAAACGAGAGAGCATTGTAATCGTACTCGTAAAAGCTGCAGTAACATAACATTGTAAGAAAAGCAATAAGACAACTGAACGTAGACTTGAATAAAGATTTTATAATATCAACTGTTTTTGTTTTGATTAATTCATATTCTTTACATTAAATGTTTAATATATTCAAATAAAATAATTCGAAGTGGTCTGTATTCTGTCGAAACTACCAGATGCGGATCGCGATTTCGATCTTTTTGGATTTCATCAGCGCGTCGCAGACAGCTCCGACAGAACACAGACCAACTTTTACCTGCTGTCTTAACAGCGCGTTTTAGAAAATACTACAAATGGCGCGGTAAACGCCATCTGTAGTGCGATGTTACATTTTAGGATTCCGTCTGCGACGCGCTGATGAGATCCAAAAAGATCGAAATCGCGATCCGCGTCTGGCAGTTTCGACAGAATACAGACCACTTCGAATTATTTTATTCGATTATGGTAACGTGCCTATCACGTTGAGGTTGGCTACGCCGGGATTCGTTTCAGCATGTAGATATCCATATTTTTAAATGGACCTTGTTGGAGCATACGTAATCCTAAAATGTAGCATCGTACTACAGATGGCGTTTACCACGTCATTTGTAGTATTTTCTAAGATATTCAAGTTTTTTTTTTATGAAAAGAGGGTTTCTGTTAAATTTTTAATAGTTACTGTTCTTTTTGTCATTTCCCATTTTAATCGTTATCTTTATTATTAGTTGCCATAGCCATTAGATTTTTTTAACCTTTGGGAGCATTTTCCGCTTCTAAAAGACTATGTATAGCTAACGTGAAACAGTAACAGGGATTACGGATATTACTTTCCACTTCCTCGTCACAAAAACGCCAGGAAGAATTGGTAGTTGTTTTAATTTAGAAAAAGTGATTCGTATCAAATAGCATACACACGAACTGCCTGTGTGCTTGAAATTCATCCATTTCTTTTATGTTATTTTACCTAATCGTAAGTAAAATTAAGGCATCGCATCAATCTGCAGTTCGTATGAACAACTAACGTAGACGGCCGGGCCATTCCGGACTATGCAAGGGGGTAGGGCGGATAGCCTTTTGTTAAGAACCGTAGAAATTGGTGGATGAGTGAATCTACCAGCATTTGCCTAATGAAATGCATGGACCAGGGAAGATGAACCCGAACAGCCTCCTTTTAGGAATCGTGGAAATGGGTGAGAAATAGGGGGCGGACGAAATGAAGATAGAAGAAAAGGAAGGGTTATCGATGGAATATTACTACCCCAGCATTTGCCGAAGTGATCCAAGGAAACCACAGAAAAACCTGTACCAAAAGGCAGACGGACTCGGAATCCGACGTCCTCCCAAAACTAAGCAATGGTCTAAACCTCTAGGTCATGCCGTTCTGTCGAGAGCATTCTACTAACCACCGCTGATTGTAGAAGTTTAATGAAAATAGTGCTCTTTCTATATTTTTGGGGTTTCTCGACCATCAAATGACCGTCTGTAAGAAAAACATGTATTCGTATGGCGCCTACACGTAGACAGTGTAACCAGTGAATGGTCTGGCACTCTTTCAAATATTTGATTTGCCTTTGATTTGTCTTAAAAATACTGAAATTAAAACTATAAAAATACACTTTATGTCATTAAAGACAACAGATTTCTACTCAAGCTGATGGTTATTGCACTAGGGTCAAGCTTTAGTTTTATTTGACCGTTATTTGACAAAAGTTGCATTTTATTGTGTTAATCTAATGGTTATGACAGCGAAAGAAAGCACTTTCCCAGGAAATGCAAAATCATTTTACCGTTTAGTTGATGGATTTGTTACTGGTGGTATCATAAGGTTGTAAGCATAAGCGTTTTCTGATGGGTGTTAATAAAATGAAAGTAAAGTGACAGAAAAATAAGACAAAGGAAATTTACGCGAAACGGTAACAATAATTTATTGCAGAGTATCAGCTGTTTTTTACCGGAACAAACGATTAACTACGTTGCACTCCTATTTGTCTTATTGACATTCATCCGCTGAAAGAAAGCGCAGTCAATTATTATTTCACCCAGCTTTTATTATTTGTACTAGAGCAGACTTTCTCTCTAAGAGTTAAGAGTAATTACTTATTTAATTAATATCAGGTGCAGACGTTATGTAAACTCACATGCTACTTGTCAGCCAGTTTACCGTACAGTTTTGATTTTAGAAAGGGTTACACTTCCTCTCCTACGCCGCACGCAAGAATTTATTATTAATTTTAAGGTATACGTATATATTACGTTCCTATCTAAAAAAAATATAAATGCAGAATATTTATCACTGACTTCTGACCAAATATTACTACACATAAAACTGATGAAGAGGAATATGTTTAGTACCAATTGGTGCAACATTTTTAAATACTATAAAAAAAGGAACGAATATCAACCCTTATTTTTAGTATTTTTTTTACAATCCTAACTAATATTATAAATGGGAATGTGTGTGTGTTATTTGCTACCATTCAACCAATCATCATGAAATTTTGTACACACATCGTCAGGAGTACAGAAAAGGATAAAGGGTGTCTTTTATCCAGAAAAAAAATTGTTCCCGAGAGGAAGAAAAATTAATTTTCTGTGGTCATTGAAGATCTTTGACATGTATTTAGGACATCAACCGAGCGAAGCAGTGGGTAAAACTTAGTTCTTCATAATTAAATCTCATCAGTTAATGTATTATGATGATGTAATAAAAAGGGGTAATAAATGTGAGGGGATGAAGCAATAAGAAGGGTAATAAAATCGAAGAAGATGTTGAGGCTGGAAGAAAGGGTTGTCAGGAAGGAAGTATGGAGGAAAGTGGTAATAGAAATAGGGATAGAACGTAGATATGACGGAGAGAGAGAGAAAGCTTTGAAGAGATTAAAAATCAATTAGGAGCAGGTCGAGCGAAGGAATAAATATAGAAGAATTGATGAAGAACAGATGAAGGGAAATTATAAGAGGAGAGGATTTAAGACAAATAGGGGAGCCAGGATATGAGGTGGGGTTGAGGGAGATTTTGTACATTTCACAGTACCTACAATTACTGTTTTGCAACCTAGAATGACGAGAGAAAGAAAGAAAGAAATCAATTGCAAAGCAGTCGTAAATCTATATGAATGTAATCATAAAAATAACTTAAAGTTGACGAAGATATACAACACCTGCTAGAGCCTAAATATTTATTGTAATCGAAAGGTAGAACTAAGAATAAGATATTGATCTTCTATTTGCAGATCCTTGTAGCTTTAGAATTGGCTATGTAATGAAATACTTATACACTGCAGTATTGAAACGTATTTAATTAAATATAATATAGCATTTACGAATAGTATTTACTATGCTTTCATTCTTTCCAAAAATTAAACTTATTTTTTTTTAAATTAACGAGACTTAATTTTATCTTGTTATTGATCAGATAGAGCTTTAGTATTAATTTTGCAAAGCAACATATGGTTTCGATCTTACATTTTTATAAAACGCTTTTCGTTTTTTGACTAAATGTTAGTAGACAGACTACCTTAAATTGCTGAACATTACAGAATGTTTAGATAGTCTAACTAATCCTTTTCAGTCAAAACAAGCAGAATATAACCCAAAATGGTTCCCTGATTTGTCTTGTCTGGTGCGTAAAATCAAAGTAAATATTTGAGTTACAAAAAAATTGATAAATATTTTTGCATTGTAGTTTTATGCTTTCATATATCCATATTCATTTTAAGCAAAAAGAAAGTAGGTACCAACTTTGATTGAATTAAAAACTGACGTTTGCTTAAGTGTCCCTAATTCTTAGGCAAATGTGTTTTTTATTTGTTAAATGACTCCTTTCGATAGTTACCAGTCAAGTGAAGTTGGCTCATGCCAAAAGCATTTAAAATTCTTTTAAAAAGTAATGGTACTTTGGTATTTCGTTGGGTTATGCAAACTTAGCTTTAAGGAGGATGAGTTAATTTGTAAAAATAATATCTGTGTGTGTTTAGTATTAGGTACTTTTACCATTGGTCCCTACAGGATATTCTTTCCTAATAGGATTGTTGTTTTTCATCAATTCTGACGTTCCAGTTTCATCCGTTATTAATGAATGAATACAATCTAATTGTTTTTTTTTCTAGAAACTACACAGGAATATAATTAACTTTTCAATTTAGTCGGCGAAATTGGTTCACACATGAGGCATTCGAAAAATTGATCGAATCAGTTTTAGTTGAAGGGAATTCTGTGATGCTGTCTACTGATGACTGAATCGTTTAATTTAAAGATCCTTTTTAATTTTGCTTGTGGCAAAGTATAGATGAGCAAAAACAACGCTTTTCCTGTGTGTATCTACGGTACACTAACGCATTTCCCATTCATTTTCGCGCTCATTTTCTTTTATACCAAAATCCACAATTAAAATTTTTGGGGTCTCAAATCAATAATTCAATATAAACAAACAGGTACATGAAAGATTACAATTTTATCTGTCAACTGAGGCTAATTGAAGCGGATGTGGTTGTCACTTCGACTACACTATTTTATGCGACTTCTTCGCTAATTGTTAACTGATTAATAATTCTTTTTTTTTTATTTTATGTCATATTCCAATTTACATTTGAATAAAATATTCCACCTCCAAGGGTGAAAAATTAGAAGATATTAAAACAAAGCTTCGAGAAATTAATGCGATGTCTTTATTTCGATCAGATCTTATTAACTTTTTAATTTGTGCTCATAGGCAAAGTATTAAAGTTGGCTTTTATACGTCACTATATCTAGATTATTTTATTCCATTGTAATATAAGGCAGTAGAACGAAAATAACCCGTCGTAACTCGCGATCTCTCAATAGTTTTACGATATCTATCCTCATTAATATACTAAAACACTTACGCTCCAAGCACAGTATAGTATTCCAGAGTAAAGTGATAGTAGCAAATTTTCGGTGGCTCTCCCTCTCTACAAGCTCTAGCGCATTCTTCAGGTGCCGACAGCAGTGGATTTCTCCTCAGTTCTGCTGTCGCTGATGATCGAAAATCTAAATGCCTATGACTAAATCCTCCTTTAATATTAAGCGGACTAGCACCAGGGGTGAATTTCACCGACCCTCTGCCGGGGCTAAGACCTGGATGGGTTTGTACCAGACCATGGGTTGACGAGAACAAGTCCGGTGTATCAAGAAGGTCAGGTGGATTCAGAGCATCTTGTTGCCACCATGATGCTGCTGTGTTTTGATCTGTAACTGTAAAAAATATTTCACAATAAATACTTTGCTAAAAAATATAACAAACGTTTTAAGTTTATGTATTACCCTAGATAAAAATGATAAGTCTCTCTCCAGTCACTCAGAGTCTTTCAGCGTCTCTGAGAGCGTCTCTCACAGTCTTTCGCAGTCTCTCAGTTATTGCCTAAGTGTTTTTATGGATCTCTCACAGTTTCTGTATGAGAGACTCGAACGATAAAATTGTTAATTCAGAGATTCGAGTCTCTCACAGAGAGACTGAATGAATAAAACTGAAAAATTGAGAGACTCGAGCTTCTCGTAGAAAGTCTGGGATCTCTGAAATATGTTGAACTTGAAATTTTAACCATGTCTCTCGTTCAGAGATTCGAGTCTCTCGTTGAGATATTCGAGTCTCTCGTTCAGAGACTAGATACGAAATAAGGATCTCTCTATGAGCGACTCGAGTCTCTCGTTCAGAGACGCTAAACAGTTTTTTTGACAGTCTCTCGACAGTCTCTCTTAGCGACACCAGAGAGATTCGATGAGAGACGGAAACTCGAGTTTCGCTTTCAGAGACTCTGAGAGACTGCACATTTTTATCTCGGGAGGTTTCTCGCTTATCCAAGCATTGGTATCTCTGACATCGCTTAACATGACAGTAGATGCAATCTAAATTTATGAATATTTTCCTTATTTAGTCTTCAACAATGAATGTAGAATTAGAAATTCGATTCTTTAAATTTCTGTTAGGATTAAGTTCAATATAAAAATTAAAATTGAAAATTAGTCCAACCATATAACTCAGTGTATAAAACATGAAACGTTATGTGACTGAATATTCTACACCTTATGATACGTAACGTTCAATAGCCTCAATAATAATTTACTAAAAGGTGAAATATGTGGTCAAATTATTGGTTTACATATATATATATACATATATTGTAATAAGTGTGTGCATGTATGTACGTTTATACGCATGTATTATAACGTGAAAGTGTGAATTCAAAAGAGATTTATAAAAATGACATCATTCAATCATTTTTATAAAAGCTTCTCATTCTGTACCTAAATTAATTCAATTTTCAAACTTTCTACTTTTTGCTCTCTTGCTCTGCTATTTCCAGACGACCCACGGATAACTATCTCCCATTACGCAATTCACTTGTCCATTCATTCCTTTTTCAGCGTGACCCACAACTTGTACAACACATGTAAGAAAGATATAATTTGCCATTACCGTTTATTTAGACTCATTTCGTATATAGTGAAATCTATGAATATCTACTCAATATGCGTCAAGTAGGCGGAACGAGCAAGTAAATCGACACGCTTAGTACCAACATATGTATGTATATACAGAGGGTACATGTACTATTTTATAACATGGGATTTCTTTATGGAAGAAGTTTATGACATTTCATCCACACACTATCGCTATCTTAGTCATGCACTGTATATCTCATTCGGAATTCCTTTACTACCTACCACTTTCAGTTATTTCTTTATTTGGTTTCAGGTACCCACCTATGTAAACCAAGACAAGTATAAATAATGCTTAATTGCTCATTAAATAAAAGAAATGTAGGAATTTAATAGAGAACACCCTACAATGCAAAACTTTCTAAATGTAAGTTCCTTTTTTACACAATAAAGTTTTGTTTAGGATATGTTACCTAATGTAACGCCAATGTATCCTTATATTTTACTTTTTTGAACATGCTATACCTTTCAACCTTAGTAGTAGCTCCTTTTCATGTCAATAAAGTCACTGAAGCCGTCAAGGATAATACTCTCAAATTATTGTAATAGTGACAACCTTATGCATAACACGTAGGTACATACGGTATTGTTCAACCCTCGAAAAATATGTTAGAGAGCATGAAAAATAAATTTATAAAATAAAATTAAGAATGTCCCTACGGTACACTAACGCATTTCCCATTCATTTTCGCGCTCATTTTCTTTTATACCAAAATCCACAATTAAAATTTTTGGGGTCTCAAATCAATAATTCAATATAAACAAACAGGTACATGAAAGATTACAATTTTATCTGTCAACTGAGGCTAATTGAAGCGGATGTGGTTGTCACTTCGACTACACTATTTTATGCGACTTCTTCGCTAATTGTTAACTGATTAATAATTCTTTTTTTTTTATTTTATGTCATATTCCAATTTACATTTGAATAAAATATTCCACCTCCAAGGGTGAAAAATTAGAAGATATTAAAACAAAGCTTCGAGAAATTAATGCGATGTCTTTATTTCGATCAGATCTTATTAACTTTTTAATTTGTGCTCATAGGCAAAGTATTAAAGTTGGCTTTTATACGTCACTATATCTAGATTATTTTATTCCATTGTAATATAAGGCAGTAGAACGAAAATAACCCGTCGTAACTCGCGATCTCTCAATAGTTTTACGATATCTATCCTCATTAATATACTAAAACACTTACGCTCCAAGCACAGTATAGTATTCCAGAGTAAAGTGATAGTAGCAAATTTTCGGTGGCTCTCCCTCTCTACAAGCTCTAGCGCATTCTTCAGGTGCCGACAGCAGTGGATTTCTCCTCAGTTCTGCTGTCGCTGATGATCGAAAATCTAAATGCCTATGACTAAATCCTCCTTTAATATTAAGCGGACTAGCACCAGGGGTGAATTTCACCGACCCTCTGCCGGGGCTAAGACCTGGATGGGTTTGTACCAGACCATGGGTTGACGAGAACAAGTCCGGTGTATCAAGAAGGTCAGGTGGATTCAGAGCATCTTGTTGCCACCATGATGCTGCTGTGTTTTGATCTGTAACTGTAAAAAATATTTCACAATAAATACTTTGCTAAAAAATATAACAAACGTTTTAAGTTTATGTATTACCCTAGATAAAAATGATAAGTCTCTCTCCAGTCACTCAGAGTCTTTCAGCGTCTCTGAGAGCGTCTCTCACAGTCTTTCGCAGTCTCTCAGTTATTGCCTAAGTGTTTTTATGGATCTCTCACAGTTTCTGTATGAGAGACTCGAACGATAAAATTGTTAATTCAGAGATTCGAGTCTCTCACAGAGAGACTGAATGAATAAAACTGAAANGGTGATCCAAGGAAACCACAGAAAAACTTGGACCAAGGCAGACGGACCCGGAATCTAACCGGCGTCCTCCCGAATGCTAAGCAATGGTCTAAACCTCTAGTTTTACATATAAGGATTTTGTGGATAGGGCTTCGTAAATTACAGTCTCTCTGCGTGACTCTTATTTAATTAAACATATTTTTCACAAAGATATCGTAACTTTTAATGTAAGGAATGAAAAACTGAAAATAATACCGCGATAGCTATCTATAATAATATCTATAATTTTGGACTGTAACTGTTGGACGGGGAATCCTAACTCCGTTCAGTTTCCCTATGAACAAATTATGTAGTTAAGGGTATGAATCTACAGAAAAATATACTTTTAATAATAATAAAAGATTGTGCATTAACTATACTCATTTTTAGATTTTAGCACAAAATCAAAGTATATTTTCATACTGGAAAGGATGAGGACGTGAAATTCAAGAGTAGGTAGGTATTTACCTCTTCAGGAAATTTTTGTTTATACGATATAGTGTCCTCAGTTTTTTTTTTGTTAATACAGTGGATTTCATTTAATACGACCTTGGTTATAGCGACCATTTTGCTATAGCGACGTTAAATCTAAGACCCTTGAATTTAAAGCATACTTTAGTACAAAATTCATGTGGCTTAGCGACTTCGGTTGTAACGCCGAGTTCGGGTTAATTAATGAATCGTTTGTAACAAATTCGTTTGTTTATAGATATTATCCAGGTAGATGTGTACGTTAAAATGGTTCAGTTACAAAATGATATTCTGAATAGCAACTGTGTTAAGTAAACTTTTGAATAAGTATGACTTCTAGATGAACATTCACTGTTCAAAAGAAGGCGGAAATCGTTTCAAAATTGAAAAATGATGAAAACTATACATGCGTATCTGTATCTCTTTACGTCTGCCTGTAACGACTTCCGGATGTAACGACGAAATTACAGTGGTCCCTTCGTCGTCGTTATACGCGAAATCCACTGTATTAACTTAAAAAAGAACCCTTTTACACTGTCTGGCTTTTATTCTACCCTTCAAAAGAATATATGAACAAACGTTTAATTGTTTCAAATTACACTTTAAAAACTTAATAACATGCAATACTAAGTTTCAATAAATATTAATTCACAACAGCTATTTTCGCGTAAATTTCTTTTTAGGTGGAGAAAGAAAAATGGCTTTTCAAATTTATGTGTAACTTATTTAGAATAACAGATAAAACAAAAAAATTCTCACATTCTGATTTTTGAAGTGTTACTAAAGTAACAATAACAGCGAAAACAATGCAAGGTTAAAATTGTATGTAATAGTTGCAAAGCAGACACGTCATCGTGCAATGTATCACAAATAGAAACAGCTTATAAAAAAAATAGTTCAACGGATATTAAATTGCAATTAGTAATACGCAATTAAACAATAACAGAACTATTTACCGTAACCTTTTAACTGCATGGTGTTATGTAAAATTAACTAACTGAAGTTCAAGTAAAAATGAGTGCAATTACGAGAACGTTTTTTGACTCTACGCTCGCTTTTAGCATCGTTTTGACATGGTAGAAATTTAATTATTAACTTATCGTAATCAAGAGATAGGTATAGATTTTTTTGAAAAATTATAAGATATAATTATTATATTTTCTTTCTAGGCTCTTTAACTTGATGCGCAATATGATTGACAATTAAGCATGAAAGTAATTAAATAATCAGAACATACTTTTTTCTTTGCTGCAAGCATAAGTAATT